AACCCCTTACAATACATTGATTACATTTTCATTAGCCAATGTCAAAATGTCTTTTATTGTACCTAGGATTTAACTGTGTACTTCACAGAACTAAAAATAAAATATCACTTTTACCGTGTAATTAAATAATAAACCACAAGTTTAAGCGAAAATATCACAAACGGTCCTGTAAAGGCAGCGTCATATAGCCTTGAAACTCGGGATTTAAGTGGTATTGCCAGGTCAATATTGAATTTGTGGGTGAATCGCTTGTTGAACATTAATATTTTTGAAAATGTAATTAAACATATTGTCACGGGGTGGTCGTCAGCCTAGGGGGTATTGTAGCTCAGATTTTATCTGACGACGCCACCACGAACTCTAGCTCGCCACGCTATATTCTGAGTAGCCCGGACTTTTCCAAAATTTGAATAAAGTCCGCTCAACCCAAAATACAACCTGGAGAGGGGTATTTATTTACTTTTCAGTTACTTAATTACTGCTTAAGGAATAAGAATTAAAATTACTAATTATAAAAAATATTTATTAACATACCCAATAGTTATTATTTACATACACAAAAAATATAAATGGAAGATAAACTAGGAACCAAACATAAAATATAAGTTTACTTGACAAAATAACTAAAAAATTATTATTTCTTACCACATAAAATTTTCCTGTGGGGACACGTTCACAAGCTCTTAAACTACTTAATTATTAGTCTATTTTATTTTAATTTATTACTTGAAATTTTTATTTTTTTAAATTAATAGTGGAGCTGAGCTCTTTACTGTTACTCAGGCCTAACCTGAATGAATCTTTCTTGTCAGAACATTTACCTTCAATACTCATCTGCTGATTTTGCATCTTTTTCCAGTTAATTCACCTATTTGATTTTTACACATAACAAATTGTTAAATCAGCAAAATGAACAGATTTTATTATTGTTTAACATGAAAGGAAATATCTTATAAAGACTAAAAAATTATTTACATTAATTTGCTTGAGAATAAAAGTATTTTATTACAAAATTATTATATTACTGAAATTTTAAATAGAGGTAAATGTCCTATGTTAGGTGAATTTATTAAATAATGTGAATTTATAAAATTTGGAAAATATTTATTATTTGGAATTTGTGACAATATTATTAGTTGATTATTAAAATGTTTTTAAGTTATTTTGTGGCGATATTTCGTAGATATAAACTATTTAAATCATATAATTTAAAAATAAATAAATTTGAAATTCTTTTGTGTTAGGTATGTTTAATATACTTGACAACACTACAGGGACAAGTCGTGCATACTGCGCATGCTTCTAGACACACTATTTTTGACATCAGGCGCAGACACACTTTTTTATGCACAGTAGGCTTCAATTTTTGCTTAAATGTTATATTTATATTGGTTTTCTATATTATATCTATGGTTACGCGTAAATGTGTAATAATTATAACTAATAGTTTAAAATATTAGTACCGAACGAACAGAAGGCATTTACGTTTAGTCGAAGACGATTTTACATTAAAAACAATAAGAGCTCGAACTGCTATTGTTGGAAACTAATTAAGGAAAGTATTCATCTAATTGCGTTTCTGTATGTAATAGTATCTCGCCTTAAGAACTTTCAACGCGGACGGTATAAAATTAATGGAATTGTCGACCGTTCTGGTGTACGAAATCTCTTGCGGAGGCTTATCGGCCAACGTTGGTCCCCCATCGCCTGATAGTCAGGGTTGAACTGGGCATAAATTTCAAAATTTGCGATAAAGCAGTGGAAACGTAATCAGCACGTAACAGGACCTTCAAAATGTGCCCAACTTCGCCTAGATAGAATGTTTATCGTCGTTACAATTACTTACAATGTTTGTTGTAACTGGACAGAAGCGTTTCTACATGAATCAGCGAATAAAAAGTATATCGGGGTTTAAATAGGGATGAAAATGTTTGTATCCCTAAAATAATAATATCTTCCGCTATCCTGAGGATATTTCCTCTATTTTTGTTGTTTTTCTTCTTACAAAAATAATTGTTTTAGATTGTCATCATATCTAACACAAAACATCTATATATCTAAATAAAAAAAATAATTAAAAGAATACAAAAAATAGATCTAGGAGCAAGTAAAACCCAAAAAATGTTTAAACCAACAACGGAAAACTAGACTGATCCATTAATTCATAATTAGGCCATTATTATTGCAAGCTTCAAATTGTTTATCAGGCAGACAGAGCTGTCGCATCGGCATTAGAGCGAGCGAGATGGCTGTCAATTTGAGTGCAAATCATTGATATAAAACCAGGTGCAAGTAGGTTTGCGCATGTTTATTTGGCTCTTACGAAACTGCATCCCAAAAAAGAGTTTCCTACCTGATTCGAAAAAGGTGACAACGAAATTTCATCCCCATAAGGTAGGGCTAAGGTAAGGCTAAGCACATTTAGCTGTAAAATTAAGCCATTGTTGCCACCTTCTGCGTTGTTTATTAAAAATTCTACAAACGTTCTATTTATATTAAGTCAGTAACATTTTCAGAAAATATAGTTTAGCCACTAAGGTTTTAAGAATATTGATTCTTTTTAGTAACTTCTGTTATTTTATTAATTAATCTAGGTATTTTGTAAATTGACTAATGGGCAATAATTCAACAACTACATATTAAAATGTTTTTTAAAACTGTAAAATATAATTAAAACTTAGCTCAAAATTTATACGAAATTATTTTAATAAAATCTAATTTACTTATTTTATGTCGATTTAAATCACTCAGCAAGTCTTCGAGAAATATTCCTCTCCTTAAACTTCGAGTGTCAAGTTTTTTGGGATTAGATTTTTATATATGTGTCAATTTGAAATTGAGTTATCACATTTATAAAAACATTCACGTTAGGGTGAGCGGCTCAAAAGGAAGCATTGTATTTCTAATGAAAAGACTCACAATTGGTGGTTCTCTGCAAAAAAAGAATGCTCTGTCCATATAAATGGTGGAAGAGATGAATCTTCTGTAATATAATTGTGAACGAGATAATCACAAAACTTTTTCATTGAAAGGCTTAATTTGTGTTAAATCAGTTGCGAAAATGTCGCCTACATAATCTTCAGGATGCAGAAATGGTAATCCAAAAACAAAGATTAAAAACTTTGATATTTCTGTTTCACTCTTCCCATTTTTTTGGTACTCTGTCGCTTAGCCTAATTCCTAAATTTTTCGGTACCATGACTGCCCTAAGTGAAAACGACAATCTCGTAGATTTGCTTCTGGGAACGCCTTGTAGATGCTTTTATGAATAGCAATCTCAAAATCTGCTGTTATCAATTATACTTAAAATACTTAATACTTAAAACTAAGATTGTATGATAAGAATGTTTTATTAGGAAAAACTAATGGAATGTAATGATCATTTTTAAGACCATGAATTGTAAACAACTAAGTAAAAAACGGGGACAATATTCAAATGTACCATCAACATACCAACAAGAAAGAGATGACAAAAATTTAAGGTTTAATAAACACGAAAATATAACAACATTATTTTCTTTGTCATTTTTAAGCAAGAAGTTTTCTTTCTGATTGGTTAAAATAGGAAACGACTAAATTGCCATATGAAATTCGGAAATATTTTTAGGATTTTTAAAAAGAAGAGAAGATTTAGCATTGTATATATTTTGCCTCAATCTTACAATGTTAAGGTCTCGACTGCAGAATTTTTAATTTCGTTTTTAATGAGTTTTAACGGTTTTTTTACAAATGTTCTCCACAGCTTTATGCTTAACTGAATTACTAACGAAATGTCTGTTAAAAACTCGATCGGATAACTTTTCATGATTGTGATCCAAAACTGATTGCACTATTGTATCGTCAGATCCTTGGGTTTTCACAAATGCCTTACATGTTCGCTTACTGCATTGCCATCGTTTTACTATTTTATTGGCCAACATTTTTTGAAAACTGAATATTTAGCCATGAATTACCAATAATGACATAACTCCATCATCTAAACAATATGTTGCTTCCATTATTAAAAACTGCACAAAAACACCAACACAAAGACAAAGACGAACTAAAACTAATAATATTTGGCGATAGTATACTGGTCTTCCCTTGGAATTATTAAAATCCCACCCCATAGATAATCCTTTTATACCTGGAACCGAAGCTAGTTAAAAGTCCATTTGGTAATTTAAGTTGGTTTTATCCAATAAACTTCATCACAAGGCAACAATTATTACTATAAAAAGGAAACAATTCCAAACTCAAATGTGACTGAGATGTAAAATACATAAAATAATACTCAAAGTCATAGTCACAACGATATATGTGCGGCCGTTTATTTTTTGACAACTACTCCTTTGGCTAATACCTCACCAGGTATTGAATTACGTCGAACAAAAATAGCAGAGATAGAAAATATTTTCAACACTCTACCTTTGATTGTGCCCAGTAAGGAAAAAGTCATTCTTGGACCGGTTTCGTCCATATTAGGACTCTTCTGCAATAAATAGAAATTCTCGACTCCAGTTTCTAATGGAGTCTGATTGCAATACCAATTTCGGTCGAACTCAACTACGGCGGGTTGAGCATGAGTAGATATCCAACGAGCGAAAAATGGTATCGCCATCTGTACTTAGTAAGCAAAATCAAAGGTCGCTGTAGTACCCAGTTCAGAGGTTGTGACTATGGCTTTGAGTATTATTTGATGTATTTTACACCTTTGTCACATTTAAGTTTCAAATTATTTCCTTTTTTAAGAGTAGCCCGCCTGGCTTTTATTCCACCTAGTCTCTGAACTATGTACTACAGCGTCCTTTGATTTTGCTTACTAAGTATAGATGGCGATACCACTTTCGCTCGTTGAATATCTACTCATGCTCACGTATAAAAATAAAAATATTAAAATTAAATTTATATTTTTATGTTATTTATGTAATATTAAAATAATGTGTTTTTATGAAATTTAACTGTGTGTTCACTGCACAAATGAACCAATGAAGAAACCGCCCCTGATTAAGACTAAAATACTCAGTACACATTTCACATTCTATTTATTAACAGTAGTTGAAAACTTATTTACAATTTTTAAATTTTTTGTCATTACGTTTAAAACAAATTGGCTTCTCTTTCTTCCTTAGCCGATCTCAGATATTTAGCTCTCTTTTTGGAATACGGCAACCCTTTAAACCATTTCATGAACTCAGCCCACTCCTTTTCTGTCACCTTTTTAACATCATTATTTAATAGAAATTTGAAAATTTCTGTGGCCGTTAGAGGGTTGTTTTTCAAATTCAAAACTCTTCTAACGTGCAGCAAATCTTTGAGAGCGTCTCTCAAAGCTGGCAATGGATATCCCAGGGTGACCTGTAAAAAAATTTACACAATAATTTTACTCATAAATCATACTCATTAATGTTACTCTTTAACTTTACTAAATAATTTAACCCATTAAGTTTACTTATTAATTTTATCTATTAAATTTACTCATTAATAATACTGAATAATTTTACTTAATATTTTACTCATTAATTTTACTTATTAATTTTACTCATTTATGTAACTGAATAATTTGACTCATTATTGTACTCATTAATTTTACTCATTAAGTTTTCTCAATAATTTTACTCATTAATTTTAATTTCATTTATTAATTTTACTCATTAATTTTAGTTATTAATTTTACTAAATAATTTGACTCATTAATTTTACTAATTAATTTTATTCATTATTTTTACATATTAATTTTACTCGTTAATATTACTTGGTTATTTTATTCTTTATATTTACTCATACAGACTCTTTGGGGTTCCTGTTAAAAGAGATATTTTCAACCTAATCTAATCTATTCCTACTATACCTTTTAATCCTTTTTTCTTGGTTTTGGACTTAGATTTTTTTTACTTTCGTCATGTAGGTAAAAATTTTGCCTTTTTGGAACTTATTTTTTTACTTACCCTTGCCAGAAGAGTAATATCAATATTCCTGTCTATAGAAGGGTTTCCCAATAGAATCTCACTCCAATACTTATATAAGCTGTTCTGCTCTGTAGAAGGTATTAAAATATGTCTTTCGAATATTTTTTTAATATCGTTTTTAGCTTCAAAAGGTGCACTGCTTAAGCCTTAAAATAAAAAAATAATTTTACTATATAAGATGGTACGTGAACTGTCTTAGACAGAGTACTGTAACTATAGAGGATTAAAGAAAATACTTAAAAAAACATACTGTACAGTCGGTGCAACTCAAATGAATGAAGGTTGGTCGTCGGTGCAACTCAAATTAATGAAGGTTGGTCGTTAAATAAAGTGCGTGCTCTAAATAAATGTCAGTTAAATTTGCATAATATAGTGTACGTTAAGAAGTGCCGGCAAGAAGTCAGGACTTTTTGCTGCCCATGGCAAAACATTTAAGTTGTCAGAGACACTAAACAACAGATGATTGGTCTAGAGGCTAGAGGTCTAGAAGATTTTCAAATAATTTCGTAATTTAATTTTCGAGCTGATATCTCAAATTTTGCATGCTAAGAGTGAGTCAAGAGTAGTAAAAAACAATGTATTTTTTGATATTATCTAACATAAAAAGATAATTAAATCTTTTAGCTTAATCTTCTAATCTTGCCTCCAAATAATGATCTATTTGAGTTGTAAAAAACGATGTTTTTTGAGACTATTCAATATAGAAAAGGAAAATCGACTTTGTGCAACTAGATCCATAAGATATCTCACACTGCTAGTATATACATTCCATGGAAAATAAAGGGACCGAAACATATCTTTCCAATAAGTGATTCAGGAGGAGTAAAGATCGATCATATCAATGTTTGCATGTTAAACAATACCCTTGATAATATTACAAAGATAATTAAAGTATTTTAGTAGAAAATCCTAAATTCAAATTAAGTCACAACTTACCTAAAATCATCACACGATCCTCATCCTTGATACCACTGATTAGTTCCTTAAGACACTTTCCAAGTCTCTTTGGATTATTCTGTTTTTCTTCCTTAGGAACTTTCTTCCAAAACAACTTTTCAGCGTTGTCGATAAATATGATAGAAGGAGCCAGAATTTTGGCCATCTTCTTAACCAAATGCACAAGCATTTTAACTTCTTTTCCCAAATAAATCTCGGCTGTTACTTCTGGTGATAAATCGAACACGATGCATTTTGTGGCGTTGAATATGGAGTTAGCTAACAGGTGTTTGCCCATTTGCTTCGGACCGGATATGAGGACTGATTTTGGCCTTTTCATGACGGTAACTCCCATTGGAAGAATAATATTCATAACTATAGTTTGCCTGATATCTAGTAGAGTGGGGTCGATTTCTAAATCGTTCTCAGTCAACTCCCAATTATGGTATCCAAAATCTCCATGGAAACTGGACAAAGATGCTTTCGGATAATTTCTAATTACTCCGTTGTCTACAAGCTCTTGAAACAATTCTTCTGTAAGTTTGTCTGCCGTCATATCTTTAGATTTCTTCTTTTTTTCTTTTTTAGGTTTTTTTACAGGCGGGGGTTTGAATTTCTTGCCGTTATCTGTTGCATAGGCTTGTTGTAACACACTCAGTTCTAATCTGTAAAGAAGAAAAGAGATGAAACATATATAATGAAAATTCGAGGAACGAAATCCCGTAAAACGTCACCCATCACCATCGAAACACTAACGCACCGCGATTTAGAATTTCACCTCTTTTAACAAGCCCAATATCATCGTTAACTGGATATACATAGCTGTTTTTTTATTTTAAGACTTGGTCGTAAAAATTTGCATTTGTAGCCGTTTTCTTCAGGGGAAATTATTACAGCTACAAACTTCTTGGAGGTTCCACTTTTTGTTTTCAAGTTCACAACAACATAATCACCGTATTTTACTTCTCCGGCGACACTGTTGCTGTTTTTCACAATGTTTGCTGCTTCACACACACTGTTTTTAGAGTTGTCATCAACCAGTTCATCTTGGGAAGGCTCGTCTTCAAAAGCTTGATTTTCTAGGGTCATTTTCAGAATCATCATTTACAGACCATACATCTTTGCACTTCTAAAAATGGGATGGTAATACGTCTTCATCACTCTCAGAACTTGTCAGTGCTAACTCTTTGATTTAGGTTTTAATTTTGTCTTTGGTTTATTTTTTGAGATTTATATGGATGTGACATGTTCAATATCTTTTTGGCGAATACTTTTGCCAGGTTCAACTGACAATTTCTTTTTTAGTCCTTCATTGGACATTCCTGTTCTTCCAAATCTCGCCTCTTGAAACAGTTCTTTAATAATCTCTTCTAACATATTTTCTGCTTGTGCCGCACCCTCAATATCTTTTGGAAGTTTAGAGAGGATTTTTTGGCGGTTAATCGGCACTATGCCAGTTGCTTCAAATCCAGATCTAATATTGTACTCATTATTAACATTCTCCATCGTTTTACCATCATAGGGAATATATCTTATAACTCCTTCATTGTGCTTCTTTCAATCTCTCAGAATTTGTCTCCATTTGCTCCGAAAATGCTTACGTTCAAAGGCCATAAGTGAGTGCTATTAGGAGGTAGCAAAACAAAGAAAATATTGTTCTTTTCACAACTTTTAATATCTTCGACAGAGATATGGCTGGCTAAGTTATCTCCTATTAAATCGGATGAAATAAAAAAATGCTGGGCATGAATCAAAATTATTTCACTTGTCGGACGGGTGTCCCAAACTAATTGTAAATAAAAAAAATAAGCGGTTTCCTACCTTTAGAAAAATAAACGGGGTTGATCGATGAACTAAATCACGGTACTCACGGCACTAGGTACTAACTAAGGGTGAATAGTTTTCGGCTGTCGGCAATCACGAGAGAAGAGCTTACGGCGGCTGTCAAGCGAGGAGAGAGCGTAATTCCCAGATGGGATTTAATTTATGCCTTTTCGGTAAAGCAAGATGGAAGACCAGGACGACAAAGTGGGGATACCACTACTACAGCCGACTGTTTACAATTTAAAAATAAAAAAAAATGCCCTTATAGTCCTTGACAAATAAAAGGTAGATAATCCATACGAAATCGACTCTAAAAATGCCCATTCGGATTTCGGCAAATATAAGAATATTTTAATCTACGAGGGTACTCGCAATTGTTGAAAAACGGTAATTCCTGGAAAACAGAAATACAGGGGAACTTCTACATGTTCTCAGGCGGGAATTAATTGAAATATACATTTTTAAGATGAATTAAAAATAAAATTTAGTGACTTCGTCACCCTAGATATACCAAAACTAGTCCAAAAATATTTTCTATTTCGAAAAATCTCAAAAACTGGTTGACTTATGTAAAACAAAAGTTTTGAATTTCAAGTTTTAAAAAATGACACTAAATAGGTTAAAAATAACATAAATTCATTATAAAATTTTTAAGAACATTAGACAAGTTGTCAGAATAAGGGTTAATTGTCTTATGGTCAATTTTGGCTCTATTTTGCTTAATAGACTCAGACCATCAGTTTCTCGATCCAACCTTCTCCAGATCGGTTACTTACTTATTAGAAATTAAATTACTGCTAATACGGCAATTATCAAATCCTACAACAAACTATGCAAATTAATTAAAAATTCACATGGTCTGCTATAGGATTCAAAGTTGTGCTTGCTAAGCTACCGTAAATGAATACGCACCGATTGAAGAACTCGATTTACAAAAGCTTTTCGAGACAAGAAGAGTCTTATTAAGACATTAATCTTAATTAGATCAGTTTTATTAGAGTTATATAAAAAAATAAATAGTAGCTAACCTCATCAGTTGGTCTATAATTTTCCTGCATTCTACTTGAGATTCGTAACATAGATCGGCTGTTATTATGTCCAAATAATGCTTTTCTTGTGGATTTTTCAGTTCACTACGTTCGTCCCAAAGAATTTTGTGCTCCTGTATACCCTCATTAAATAACTCGATGTTATTAGGAGGATCATGATAATATTTATATTGGTGCGGTAGTAGAGCAGCCTGTTCGGCTCTTCTTTGCTTCGCCATCTTCTTTTTTGCCTTTTCTGCGGCTTTGATTTTTTGTTTTTCTAAGAATTTTGCTAATTTAGCGGCTTCTTTTTCTTCTTTTTTTAGAGCCTTCAAAGCTTTTGGACCCATGGCTTTTTCTTCGGCTTTTTTAGTCAGGTATTCTTGCGGTGTTAGAGTTTCTCCTCTTACTACTAAACACGTTCCTCCTAACATTTCTGTTGGAAAGTCGTCGAACATATCGCATTGTTCGTACCAGGCGTGAAACCATTCTCTAATTTCGTCTCCGATATCCTCCATTATTTTTGGTGCTACGTACTTGAGAACTCTTACTTTTTCTTTTTCTAAAGCGGCTACGTATTCATTGAATCTTTGGTCTCTATATTTACGTCTTTTTTTTAAAGCATCTTCTAAACATTCAAATTCCTCTTTCGACCTCCAATATGGTTCGTACATTCCTATGACTATTCTTCTTTGAACTTCGTCGTATTTTCTTTGAGCGCGGGCGCGAAATCCTCTCCAATAACTTTGTATAATAATGGCGGCTGCGGTTTGTATCATCATTATTTCTTCTTCGGTTTGAGTTTCAACGTCCTTTAGTTGACCTAAAGCTTTGGCAATAGCTAATGCTCTGGCTTTTCTACTATCAGTTAGAATCTTTAGTTTAATTTTATAAAATATCCTTTCTTGTCTAGCGCGTTCAGCTGTTTGAATCAAAGTAACTGCTTGAGTAAATTTCGCTAGTTTAGCTAATATTTCTGGTGCTAATTTAACCACTGTCGTTCCGGGTCTTGGTCTTCTTCTTTTAGATAATGCTGCTTCGGATTCTTTTCGTACTCTTTCCTTTTCTGCTTCGACTTCTTCTGGAGTCAGATATATTCTTTCGCCTTTTTTTATTCTTGTCCACATATCTTCTATATTGTCAGGCCTTCGCTGAAATAGGTGTGGGTTTACTATTTCGATATCGTGGGGAATTATTTTCCGCTCCACGATATTACCATCTACGTAGTGGAATTCGGAAAAATCTAGATCTCTAAAGGCGTCGTTGAAATCCATCAGCCGTATGGCTATGGCGTCTACTAGTTTTTTCACGGTGACCCGTTTTTGTGGTTGGACCATCTGGTCGAGGATCTCGTCCATTTTTTTCAATAGGACGGCATATCTTACATACCATTCGCCAAGCTGGAAGTTGGCGAATTGGCGGTTTTTGATTTCTACAGCTTCTTCCCGCCATACTGCGTCTTGTAAATGTATAGCTTCTAACTGTTTTTTAGTTAGTATCCACCAGTGATTGTTAAGCTTGCAAGCCATGGTTAGGAAATTGTAACTTGAATTTTTGTTTTTAAGGAACAAACATTTAAAATTGAGACAATGCAATAATAATTAAAGATTTCATTTTCTGACATTAGTCACAGAAACAATGTCAAAATTTTGATGTCATACGGAACCTAAAAATATAGAGAGGATTATTAAGACTAGAGAGAATGAGACGAATCGGTATACCCATACCCGAAACCTTAGACTAGGTAATAGCAAACTCAGAGTAAGTAAGTAGTAAAGAGAGGACAGTAAACAATGTTTGTGTCGCCATGATAATATGGTCGAGAATTCTAATTAGAGAGAAATAGATTAATATCTCTATCTCTTTGTTTGTATTTGTCAGTTTTACAGAGCTTTTCTCTGACAATTATTCCAGTGTTTAATTTAAATTTGTTCGTGTTGTGGTGTTAAAAGTAATTATTATTAATATTATATTCATAACAAAAAAGTCATATTTTGTTTTCACTTCATTAAAAATGCACCTACCTACCTTTAAAAATTTTTTATTTTATATTCTATTTGGTCAACATTTTCGCATTTAAAATGACCCAGCGAAATTGTTTTACGGTACGCTACTGCTAAGAATTCTAAAACAAGTGAGAAAGCCTTCATTAGAAAGAGAGATACTGATTATATGATAGCGAGATTAATATTGTATAACTTTATGCAGTGGTGGCCTATCTGCTATTATATTATCTAAGATAGCAAAGTATATTAACCGTTGAGTAGCGACATAAAGCGTCGGTGCCTTTGATCTTGGGTGGGGCAAATTTTGTTTCTCTCTCTTTTGACGTTATTGACGGAACAACACAGTAAAACACTGCTCGAATTATGAACTGGTCTTGAATGTGACGTTTACACTGCCCGACGTAATTTGAAGTAAAACTCTTTTGTAGTTTACATTTATAATAAAGGTTTGGTCATTAGGCAGTTTTATATTTATGAGTATTTAACTTATGTAGTAAATATAAAAATATATATCACTTATAGCACATGCATTTCCTGGAATAATGAAAAACCCACAAAACCCCAAAAAATCTTAACAAAAACACAATAAAAGAGCACTAATAAATCCACAACAACGAATTCCTATATCAGCTGTCGGACTAAATGGAAAGGGGTTGTTTACATCCAAAGACATTTGTTGGAATGTCTTTGTTTACATCTTTAGAAGAGTCTCGCCTCTCTATTTCGCGTCGGCGCACTAGAATTCGGTTTTCCAGCTGTCGCTACTCAACGGTTAATATACTTTGGTAATAAAGAGAGGACTCATAACGTCGCTGAAACTCTTGTTTCATTCTGACACCAACGATATTTGATCAAAGGCGTAACATGTAAAATTTAAAATAAAAAAGTAACAATAAATAAGACACAAGAAAAAAATATATAGAAATAAACTGAATGAAATCGTTTACATAATAAAATGAGTGCTTTCTTTTAAATTTTGCAAAATAAAACATAATGATCTACATGTATTACAAAAAGATTTATTTTTACTTAATAAAGAATGACAGTACTCAGATAGCACAGACACGTTTTAAAGACATCTTAAATACATTTGTTTCCGACATTCGTTTACAGTTGGTTACAAAATAGACTATTTTGAAGTACAACAACTTTAAAAATAATTTTATTTACCTTGCCTTAAAGAAGTTTTTCTAAATTAAATAATCTTAGTTTTATTCAGGATGAAAGACAATTATTGTCATTCATCGTGGTTTTATTTAAAGAGTTTTATTTTCATAGTAGATGAATGACAGATCTATACTTCGTGAATGACAGTTTGTTTGATTTGGTACAGTGTTACCAGAATATGTTTTTGTTATGTACCAGATTTGTCTAAAAAATGTACCAGATTCCTCAGATTTTTCGAATTCTACTTGCAGTGACATCTAAATTCATTGAATAAAAAAGGGGATCTTTATTGATAACGAACCTAAACAAGGAACATAATATTTATATATTTTTCACGTGAACACTGATGTACGCAGAATGTAATACATCTAGTACAATTGTGAATTGTACTAGACTGGCAACACTGGTTTGGCAACCTTGTTTGTGAGCGGCGCGCCAATTAATGTGTTCTTTGACAGTTTGAAGGATCTGTTGGCGTGTTGTCTTCTCTTTTTAGCTATATGTATTCGCCAAATCGTCTCACTCGTGTTAGGCTCACTCATCATAATGCGCCACAGACACGGTATACTTAGGTATATTGTGCCAAAAAATATAGATTAACACGTATGAAAATAAAAATATTAAAATTAAATTTATATTTTTATGTTATTTATGTAATTTTAAAATAATGTGTTTATGAAATTAAACTGGGCGTTCACTGCACACATGAACCAATGGAGAAACCGCCCCTGATTTCAATGTATTTTAATTCATATCACGTGAAAAAATATATTAAGAAATTCAATTTTACATTTATTATATTTTTTAAAATTATTCTCGAAACAGGTGTTAAATCACTTATCGAGTATAATAATTTATTCTACTTTATTGTATTATTATTATTAACATGTATTTATATTTTTGTGAATAAATTATATTATTATTAAAAAATACCTCTGTACTTTATAATTCCTTTACTTTGAACTCTGAAAAATAAATAACAAACGTTGACAAAATCCCCAGTTTGTCATAGTGACATGACAATGGAAAAATAAATATAAAGGGTGAAACCAAACTACTAAAATAAATAACATACCGTGTTATTAGGAACTAAGAAACAACAATTATTATTAAATATTTTGAAAAAACCTAAACTGTTTCATAAAATTAGGCCCCTTTTGAATTATTTATGTCCTCCTCACTATTTCTTCCTCTTCGCTACTGTAGGCATTAACAATTTTTAAAGCATCCATAATGTCAAAGAACATGTAGGTCATAAAGTGATGATTATCTCTTAACAATGAGTTAACACTACCTTGAAGGTAAGATTAGCTTTCAGTTAGCTATCAAATGAAAAACAGAAATGTTTTACTTAATATTCAGTTAGCTCAAAGTTAGAGTTAACTATACATTGAAAAACCGGCCCTTAGTGACTGTCACCATATCCCAAATCGGATTGAACTAAAATCTTATTGGATTGCTGTTGTCATCTTTTTCTTTCCGTGTATTAATGAAAAAAAAAATAACGTTTTTTTTTTCAGAAAATGTTGCAGATCACACCGCATTTCCCGACTGCGATGTTATATATCACCATGTATAATCCGTGGTGCGCGCCACCCGCTTTTCCGATTGGAGCGCGTGAATTTCCGCGACCAATGACGCGGCCGCTTGACGTTAGGCGGAAATTCGAGAAACGGAGCCAGTTTGCGTTCGCTTTCTCTCCGAAGGAGACCGCGACGTTCCGTCTTTGGAAAAACTCGATCACGTGGAAAACTCAAATGCGATATTCGCGGTTTTTGTGAACAATCAGGTGGTTTCGAATTGGATGGAACAATGAGGGTGGTCACTTGTGGTGTGTGGTTGATGACTTTGTTTTTCAGTGGTGAGTGTTTGACGAACTTTTTTTTTATAAAAAATTGGTTGGTTTATATTAGTAGTTGTTAAAAAATATCGTTTTTCTTACTAAAAAAACATGGTCAAACAGTAGAACCATAAAGGTTGGAAGAGAAGGAGATTTTATACAGGGTTATCGTCGTACTAATTAAAAATGGCACCCGAAGTCGGAGCTTATTTCAAACAACCAGTGGGGATAGGAACATAAATGTTTAAAAAAATAAGCCCATCAATTAAATATTGAAAGTATACTAAATAAAAATTAAAGAGAACATTTAATTAATTTTAATCATAAAAAAATTGTAACCGATTTAAAAAAAAAGCAAAAAATATTTGCTGTTTTTGTAGATAAAAATCCCAATGATACATACCGAGAGGTTATAATTTATTTAAATGAGAAAGGATGGAAGTATAAGCATTATTAATTTTTTTATTTGTTTATCCTAACAGGCCTATTATTGGCCTAATTACAAGGATAATTACTATTAAATAATTATAATATACGTGCTTACTACAGTTTACATGATTTTGATAATACCGTGGGATTAAATAATTATTACATAATATTTTTGATATCTTTCTGGAGCGCCACACAATCTCTGTTTCTACTCGTCAAAAAAGCTTAAAATCGTCAGCAAAAAGTAAACATTCAGAGTTTCTTACACAAGATGCCAAATCATTTATAAAAAGTGTAAACAATAGAGGTGCCAGGTTTGAACCTTGTGGCACACCAGAATTCGCATGATACTTTCCTGATGTGTTTCCACCAAACCTTACAATATAAAATCGATTTTCTAAGTAGTTTTTTAACATAGTAACAAAACCCACAGAGAGCCCATAGTTTAACAATTTTTGTAATAATGTGTAATATGTGTCATGATGGATTTGATCAAATTGTAATTGTTCCTCTATACCTCTACTAGCACTTTCAGTAAATATAAGTAAATTACTATTAATTGATATACCTCGAACGAAACCGTGCTGTTTATCCACTATGATGTTTTGTACATAATCTAGCAATTTGTTATAATTTGTTCGAAAAGTTTTGAAACAGAGCAATTTATTGCATTTCCTCTATAGTTTTCAATTTCTGATGTTTTCCCTGCTCTATGAATAGGTGTATAATAAGATATTTTTCATTGTGAAGGGAATATAAAACTTTTAATAATTAAATTATAAATATGTAACAATGGCATTTTTAACAAGTGATTACATCCTTTTAAGATATATAGTGGAATATTATCAATTCCTGCTTCCCTTTTTGGCTTTAACTTTTTTATGGCTTTGTTAAAATCATTTTCATTTATTTCAGATAATAAACACAAATCAAAATTTGCACAATTATTTATATAATTATTTAAATTGTAAAAAGATTTTTTGGAATTGTGTACAGAGGAAAAAAAATTTCGCCAATTTTTTTAGCTACATTTTTTCAGGTACTAATTTTCCACTTAGAGTAAATGTAGATATTTTAGACTTGCTGTTTTTTTGTTTACTATTTATAAAATTCCAGAATACATTAACATCTGCGAAACTGTCATTTTTAATTTTTTTTTTAAGTAATTTATGTACGTTGTTTTTAAATTTAACTTGAGTTCTCTTCTAATTTGTATAAATTTCTGATTATAAAAT